AGTCAATGAGGAGTTTCATGAGTACTATTGTACGTTGTTGGAGTAGAAGCATGAAGTATTTGGTGAATCTAATTCTACACTCAAAAACAAATTTGTTAGGAAAAGTTATCAAAATTTGGGGCCGAGCGGAATTTCAAACTACCACGGGAAATCTCCCACATAACCATATTTTATTATGGGTCGAAAAAGGTTTCTATCATATAGAAACTCTTATACAATGTTCAAGTGCAACTATTCTAAAAATTTTCAAGATTTAATGTCAACCAAAATTTGTATGACCGATCCTGAAAAATTGAATGAGATGTATTCAGATTGCATCAGAATTCACACTCACTCTTGTGAAAAAAGTGGTTTCAGGTGTCATAAACGAAAAGATCTGAATGGAGTGAAAATTTGCCGCACACCACCGCAACCAGTTTCAAATCATCATTATGAAATAACTATTGAACAAAATTATCCTCTCCCAGCTAGGGAATTTTTAGCTAAAATTGGTCTTGCAAGCTACATTGATGTTTTGTTTAAAGTTTGTGAGCCATTGCAAATGAGCAAGGTTATGTACGCTGCCAGATTAGGCGAGCACTTGTTACCAACATGTGCTAAATTGTTTTCAGTAACAGAGTCAAGTGTGAACCTACTGGCAACAACTAGACATTTTTCTAGTAATTACCTAACAAATTATGTGACAAAGTCTGAAGAGCATGCCGATAGCAACATAAGGTCCGGTCCGGCTGGTAAATTCTTTCGTTTGCGTTCGGATGGAATTTTAAATAAAGGTTTAGCAACAACTAAGTTTCTGCTAAAGCAAGACAACAGTTTCAAGAAAGAACCAGAGTCTGTTAAATGTCAACAATTATCGATAACGGAAAGTGCGTTTTGGACTCTCGGTGAACCGTACGTTTTCACCAACATGAGATTCATGCATCTCCAAAACGTCCCTATGGAACAACGGTACGTCTTAGCTGGAAACTTGAAACAAACGTCTTTAACTTTTTTCAATTTCCGTAACTATGTTCCCAATTTACCAAACTATCAGTGTGTTACAAGAAATCAAAAAATTTTGATAACTGATTATTGTGATCATCGGGAAAATATGGACAGATTGACATCCTTCAGTTTGCGTCCACCTGAATTGTTATGTATTTCAAATCCCGGGGTGTATGTTAGGCTTTTTGTCGTTAAAAAGTGTACAATTGGTTTATCAGAACTCATGAAAATATACAAATCAACTGAACCGAAAAACCTGGATACACTGCTTAGGTAAACAAGTTAAAATTCATCCTCTTGGTTTACTAGAATTACGTGATTTTCTTATTCACTATCAAATCAATATTAATGAGGCTGATGTTGTCCGCAGACAAATAATACTTGACATGCTGCATTCTGATCCTAATCCTTTGTTTGTCGATTTTGATTGTAGCGATTCCATTTTGCCTGAGGTGGTTTTTCGGAATGTATCTCCACGGGACTCGCTCAATTTTCTGGTCTTATTTTTGCTGTCTTTCGGATTTTATCATACCCAGTTAGATTTATATGAAACTAACAATTTGTTTGATAGTTTTGTTAGAGCAAAAGTCATAGACTCTTCTGTAGAAGACAACAAAGATTTGGTTGTCAAATACATTTTGGAGGACTTGAGATTTCAACCCGGCGGTGTTCTGATTTTTTCCAGTAAGATGATGTCCGCTGGTACTGCTTTCAATCAACTCCTGGGCATAGAATCATCTGACAATTTTGAAATGCCCGATGTACTTTTGGACCAAAATCAATTCAAGCTAACGAGAGAGGTTGAAGACTTTCTGCAATTTTGCAACGCTTCCATGTGGTCTCGAGTCAGGCAATTAGACATACCAAATATTCCAGACGATCCAACATCTTTCAGTGAGCTCTGGCAGCCTTTGTTCCAACGAGCTCAACTTCAATCAGTCGAATCTTTCAACGAACAGCAAAAGATTCCACATAAAATATTTCTTCAGTTGCAACGCCTAATGGCTGGGAAACGGAAATTAAAAAATCAAATGATTCTTGGTATGTTGACCTTTTGAAATTTTTAATGAATATTAAAATTTTTTTAATATACTTATCATGATACAATGTTTAGATTTAGTTTATCAGTTTCAGTTACTACTAGAATATTTCCCAGAAGAAACAACAGGAGAAACAACAGTTTTGAATGCGTAGATTTATATTAAAAAAATTGACAGAAGCGTTGTTTTTTACAGGAAATCCTGGCACTGGGAAGACCTTCATATCTGGCTTAGCTATGTCTTTTGCTGTGTGTAATGGAGCAGTTGTGTTTTTGACCAGTTTACCATCGAGGAGAGCTGACCAATTATATGGCCAGCATATTCACAAACTGTTCAAAATTTCAACTCTGAAAATGGACCCTATCAGTTTAGCCAATCAAGCTTTAACAAGACTAAGTCACGATCAGAAGCGTTTTGTTTTCCTCAAAACGCTCCAAATCCTGTTCATTGAAGAAATTGGTCTGATCAGTGCGCAACTTTTCACAACAGTAGATTTTATCTTCAGAAATCTTAAAGATACCAACGAGCCGTTTGGTGGAGTTGTAATTATAGGCAATGGTGACTGTTGTCAGTTGCCCAATATTGACGGCACTAGTATTTTTGAAGCTTCTTCTTTGTTATTCAAAACCGATTTTCTTTTTCTGACACACTTTGTTAGGATGGTAGACCCCGAGGGTCAAAAACTGTTGAGAATACTTGAAAAAATGCCACTCACTGACAACGACATTGAAAATGCGGTCGAAGTTATTGCATCGCAGTGCACGTTTGTTGATTCATGGATAGATTTACCATCTCGAAACCTTATGAAAGTGTTTGGTAAAAGAGTTGCTGAGGCTGAAGCATTTGAAAACCATTGCCAGGAAGTAATTTCAAATGGTTGGAACCATTCCTTCAGCTATGCACAGGATGAACTGGCGCTCGAGGGTTCTCATATTTGGCGACCAGCAAATAGATGCCTAAGTATGCTTATCACTGTGGACATGGCTTCGATTAGATTTTGAAACATCTCGTAAACTGTCAACTGAAACGCCTTCGAAAAGGCAAAAACTTCAACCACGTTGTTCTTTCAATAGTCTGATTAAACAAAGTCAGCAAAAATTTTCCCTAAAGGAAAGGAAAATTTTTTTATTTTCATGTTTTGTTAATCACATAAGTAAAATGTTTATCACGTGATTTTTTTACAAATCTCATGGACATGTGAGCTCTACTGAAAAAGATTGGTTGAAAAATTGCACAATTTGATTTCACAATTTTTCGACCATGTAATCTTGCTCAAATTTTTTTCAGTTAGGTTGATTTTGCTGGGAACTCAAAAGGCATCCAAGTATCTCGTTACTTTAGTCGATATAATATCTTGAAAAACTTTGTGGTCGTCGGTTTTGACGTTGAATTTAGAATTAGCAAAAAATTTTTCAATATGCAAAAATTTTATACTGTTTCCAGTTCTATTCTCTGTCTAATTTACAATAAGAATAATGATTCATCAACATTAATGAAATCATGAAAACTTCATTCTTGTTTTTATTGATGTATAAAACTATCACTTATAAAGCCTTGAAACAAAAACAACTCTCACTGGTCAATTATCATACTTGAATAAACCCGATTAAAAAAGTGTGAATACCAATTAGTGATCATTGAGAAGACTGGGGCAAGGTACTTTTTTAAGAAAAACGCGGCATAATTATCTAGACAATGAAGTAAAATTTATTTATTTTTTTTACAAACTTTTAAATAATACGGATTTTTTATGTGTTTTTGAAACGTTGTGATTGCGTTACCCTCATTATCTCATCAGAAACACACCATATTGTTTTCTTTTGAAAATGCGCTAACATAATTGCTATAATGCAAAAAGAAAAATGATTATCAATTACGGACAGAAATGTTTTGCTCCTTCTTCCACCATTTCTTTTTAGCATCAATTTATTTGTTTAAATACAGATTGCAATTTTTTGTCCATCATTTTTTTTTGATTTTGACAAAAGTAATTTAGACCTTGATTGCAACAACCATCTCAAGTTTTAAATGTCTACCTTTGCCACGACATAACATGATTTTTACTTAGAGTTTAAGTGTTATTTTTTGTCAATTTTTTCAATGGACAATTTGACCAAAAATTCTATTTCAAATTTAGTTAACAAAAAAAAAATTCTGATGGTTTTTTCATTAATTTGAGACACAAGCTAAAAATTAAATTCAAATGTCCAATTTTAGGAATCTGTAAAACTCAATAAACATTGTAATGACTACCAAAAGATCATGTTCTACCCATTGTGTGTCATGAGGGCTACCAGAAATTTTGACGTAATGCATCAGGGACAGCTGTGTGTGTTGGAATTTTCTTCTATTACACAGTCTTCTGTGTACGTCTACGTCGCTCCGACATTGGACAGCGTAAATGATGGAACAATATCTAATGAAGTGTTTGTAAATTGGAAGAGAATCATTGTTGGAAAAACTCCTGGTTTCGTTTATGGATTTAAAGGAAATTCTTTGAGACGAATACAGATTCCGCTGATAAACTATGTAGCACTTACGGTTCATAAACCGATGGGAGACACTATTCTTACAGCAATATCTCGCAAGGAAGGGAAATACTGCTTGTGTTTGATATCCCAGATATATGTAATCATCAGTCGTGTTAAGTACTTGCGAGAACTCTACATTGTTGGAGATAAATCAGAAACTTGTAATGCGATAAAGGAAATACTAGCTAGAAGATCACTTCAAGAAGAACGACTGTTTGAAATCTTTGAGTCACTAAGAG